CAGGGTCTTGCTTTTATCTCAGCTACAATACTACGTGCAGTTTGGTCACTTATGCTCAAACAAAACTAATTTAAAGTGGAACAGTTACAGAAAATGACCAACAGGATGACTAAAGGCTGCTGTGTATGTAAGAATGCATATAGAAAAAAAAAAACCAAACATCTTAAAAGCAGAGATTGGGGAAGACTGGCTTTTCAAATTTAGCTAAATGAAGGCTGACAATAAGATTGCTGTCTCTTTATATGCTAGAAAAATAAACACTGTGAACCGAACAAGATCTAAAGGTCAATACTGGCACAAATTGGCACATGGATAAGTGCATATAATCCTGCTGTGAATACATTTAGACTGGAAATTAAAAGTTTTGAAATCATCACAGCCACCAGGCTCCAGAGCAGTTTTCTAACAGTAACAGCAGAGACAAAAAAGTTAACTTCTTAAGCTTGAGTTAGACACATTTCTGAAGTGGATTATATATGTTTACCTAATGAGAAGGCAGCAATAGATCTGAAAATCGCAGAGGTCCTTTCCAGTAGTATGCTCTTATTTCCTTTGAACTAGTCTTGATATCTTTGCTATGCTAATATTTACAAAACAAAGCTACAGTAAATCAACTTGTGGTTTTTAAGCATTACAAATATTTGAAACCTTTAAGCTTTAAAAAGCACGCACTATTAGCTGGGGAATAGGTCTCTCTAGCGTGAACTGATACTCATAGAAATGTTCTGGTTTCACACATCCTTAAAATGGAGTTCTCAAGAATCACTGAGCAAATCTGTTTAAAAAGAGATTGGTTAACCAAAGTAAAAGTGCAACACTGAATCAGATTTATATATCAAAGTGAAGTCCCAGACTTCAGGACTTCTGCCGTGAAGAAAGCTTAATTTGCTTTCAAATAGTATATAGTTTCAAATAGTTCTTCCTACTGATGGAAGGGATTTTGGTTCAGACTTAAAACCCAAAAGGTAACAAAACAACAACAAAAAAATCAATCAAGTAACAAGAAAAAAATAAAAAATCCCAACCAATCAACCAAACAAAATAAAACCCACCCACATTTGTGTAAAGACCAGACATGTTCCAAAAGCTTAATGTTTCAGAAAGTAAGAGTACATGGAAAGAGAGCATTAATGGAAACTGTTTTGGAGCTGTAAGTACAGAGGATGATACTTAGTGACTGCTATAATACTGAGTCTGCACTGCCATTAAACTTAATCTTCGATATTTTTATTGCAACCTGACCTGCTACGACATCTCTAAAGAAAATTACATTGTACACTACTACTTCAAGAAGTCAAACTTAGCTAGTCATCTGGGCCATAAAATAGCAGATTACTCCATCAGGCTGGCTAAAGCAGCCAGGAATAAAACTAGATTTACCAACCACATTATTTTTATTAGGAAATGTTTCAAAGCAGACATAATCCCAGAAGACCTTAGCCTCATTCCATCCAAAAATACACAATGGAGAGCAGCAAAAAAACATGAACTGCAGTATAAGATACAATTTGTAAATCTGGAAAAAAAAAAAAAAAAAAAAAAGGAAAAAGAAAAAGAAAAAAATAGGGCAGCAATGCCTCACCCTATCAAAGCAAAATAAACTAGCTGAAAATAGGAAATAATAAAAACTTCTACAAAATTCATGTATTAACAATTTAAACATTTGTTATAAGATCTGACATGTTAATGGGTGTTGCTCCACTGAATCCCTGCACATCAAGATTTAGTCTGTACTCTGTTTGTTTTCTTTGAATTTGCAGGCTAATATAAAAGCACTAAAATCACAGCTAGAGGGCAAAACCTCCAGAAGGGATAAAAGGTAGAAACATTATTTTTAAAAATAGCATTCTTTAAGATGTACGGTATGTGAGTCCTGCATGCATTTTAATTTGGTTATGGTCACAGTCTCACTAAAGCTCTGTTTCTTCTGTTGTCCATTTAAATGTAGGGAACTGCTCATAATAGTAACACAGCAAACAAACAAAAAAAGCAATGAATGTACTTGGCAATCTTAACGCATCTTATTATATTCTTGTACCATTGTGTTTTCTAACTGGTATTTGTGCATATGTAATATACAGGTCTTTGTAGATCTGGAGTGAAGGAGAAGTAAGGGATTTGATAGCTGGAAATGCAATTTTAAATTTTAAAGACTGCCAAACTAGGTTAGATTTATGATGTGTGTTTTATCATCTAAGTAAGCTTTCATTTCTTTCAGTATTAACCTTTTTTTTTCCTAGGCAGTATGATCACCTCAGGCAGTTTGATTTAAAGGCTTTAGCCGATGCAGAAATATATTTAAATTAGCCAGTCATTTGTTCCTTTTTTTTAAAAAAGATTTAAATACTGTCTATATTTCACAAAGTTGGGCTTTATTATGCTAGCTGCATCAAACTCAGAATATTAATCAGACTGTGAAGCGCCACTAATTATGTGCCATATTTAAGTAACTTAGATTTTGTTAAGTGGCAAGCCCATAGATATTGTATGCATAATCTAACTCAGTTTTGAGTCATTTCCCTTTTCTTGTCTGATTTTATTCTACACAGGAAATTACGGGTCATTTGGAAATAAATGCAGTGAAAGATCAAAAAGGAAATCTGATTGAGAACGCTGTATAATTGCCCACACCAGAGAAAAAATAAAATTCAATGGGCGTATAATCCATTGCTACAAGATTTATCTGGAAAACACATACCAGGGCTTCCATGAAAGGATATTCATTGCAACACTAAGGATTGCTTTTATTTGTTGTAGCTGAATCTCTTATGAAGATGCAGGTCTTCTTATTAGGCTAGTGGACTTTTATTCAGTAGGCAATATGTTCAGCACACATGGAACACAAATTGCTAAAGCAAGCCATCCCAGTTGAGCAAATCTTTGTTGACTTGTCTCCAAGTCTTCATTTGCAAAATAAGGTAATAATGACTAAGCTTTAAGAATACTATGGTACTTGTGATCTGGGCAAATATGGTTGTTACAATTTACTGTCTCTCATTCCAAAATAACAGTTTTCATTGCTGAAGATAATGGAAAACTGTTCAGATGTTAGCAGCAGTGAGTTTAGGAGTTACAAAACATCCAGCTGTTTGCCATGGTATGTCTACAGAGGCTTTATTTTTATTTATTTATTCCAAGATGGTGATCTGCATAGTAAGACAACGGTCAACCTTTCATCACAGATTTATCATCTACTTTAAGCACACAGATTTCCCAGACAAATCTCCAGTCCCTTCTGCTTGCTGAGCACATGCACTGCAGAGCACATGACTCCAGGCGTGCTCCTGCTGTAGCCATATGCATCAAACAACATCTGCCCCTCTAACTTGTCAGGTGACCTCTTCATCTAAGGGGCTGCAAATGTAGAAGATAACACTCTCCTTTTTTATGGATAAGCATTTCTATAGAAAGAGAGCTTTGAGACTATGCTGGGTACACCAATCATCACATTTCAGCATATTAAACAAGAGCAGAAAATGGCATAAATTTGTATAAATTTGTGTAGCTTTGAAGTGCTAAACTGTAACTTGTTGAAGAACAATATTCACCCTATAACAAAATAAACTCTATACAAATATAAGAACTGGTCATTTTGGATATTGCATGGTGGTTTGACAAATTAAAGAGAGTCTCCACCATTGGACTCAAAATACAAAACAGTTTAAACCAAACTAATGCATAGTAAAAAAAAAACCAACAAAAAAACCCAAACAACTGGAAGAGAGCAGCAGCTAAAAATTGTCATGAAAGTTTTTGTAACAGTTATATTTGAATTGTGCTTCTTCCTTTATGGATTACCACCAAAATCCTTCACAGAAACACATTTCTGCTTTTCCACAGCGGAAGCTCTACCTTCATCAGAGGTGGTACTTTCAAACTGCGCAGATTTACTAAAGAAATTATGTAATCAAAGCCTCATTAAAAATCTTTTTATCAACTGGAAAGTTCTAGCCAACCACTGATCTTTTTAGCTAATATGAAAAAAGCAAAACTAAACAACCTTAGCAGTACAATGATGAAGTCCTGCTCTACTTGCTCACTGAGTTTTGCTGCTGATTTCAGAAGAGCTAGAATTTTAAGCCACTTTACAACTAACCTCAGAATAACTCACACGTCAAACAAAGCTATTTTAAAAGTGACACCGGAAGAAATTATACCACATTGCTCATAGACCCAATCCACTGGCTTAATGTGTAAAAAAACATTTTCCGATGCATTAACTTTAACTTTGCTATGAACCGAAAAGCTAAAATATGTGCCAAAAAAGAAATTACACTACCATACCTCTCAGAGCAACCACTTGTCTCCTAAATTACAAATGTAAATTCTTTCTGATGTATGGTAAGATATATCATCAAAACGCACTATCAGACTAAAGGAAGGTGCATTTGATGAACTGAACCTGTCTGTTTGATTTAAGACCACATCCTGAGTCAACACATTTTTCTATGCATTTTTTCACTAAGAAGCTATAAAATATGACAAAGTTTAGAGTCAAGTCAATTCACTGTTAACACTATTTTCAAAATGTAGGATTTCTAGCCAGCTTGTTTCTTTATGATGGGTATATTTAGCTATTGGTGACCAATGTGGATGGATAAATAAATATGAATTAATTGTGGATACATAAATATCAGGACTGTGGTCAGACTCGAGCTTGGTACACAATCGTTCCTGATTTTGACTGCTGATTATAACATAGAGTCAGACTCATGCATCACTAATTCAAATGACACGCACTAACTTAAATATACATACACAAAATTTTTGCTGATTTAACACAACGTTTTAACCAAGCACTGCATTTACACTTTTTTGAAATCAAAATTAATTTTGAATTTGAGGATCAAAATATCTAACTTATATTCTTTAATCAGCCATTTTACGTTAGTAATGAAGTAATGTTGACATGAAGTTGCTTTGAGCAATACAAAACATATGCCAGAGTGCATTCATTAAATAACTCTACATAATGAATTCCATCTATATAAATGATTTACCTCATTACTTATCACATGTTCCTCTCTAGGACTGTGGAAGATATATTCATACAATTTATAGAGTCGAAATAAGCTGCAAAACAAGAGAAAAAGTAATACTAGTACAGCTTTAAATTTTTAGAAAGGCAATATTAAGTAAAATTTTGTTTCACTAAAAGTCACTCTCCAAACCAGTCATACTCCAAATGTTAGGAAGATGTTGGCTAACTTCAGCAAACTGCAGTTTAACTTCTATAAGCTACAATATGCAGTGTGTTTAATTTATGGGATTTACTTTTAGATTGCTGTAGGAAATACAGTACAATACATCTGCTTTCTTTTACGAAGTCAAACTCTGAAAACACTAAGTTCTACTTAGAAAAAAAGTAATCTCTGCAACACTTATCACCAGGATACTCATGCCTTTAATATCGGTGGTGGTGAACAAGCAGGAAACAAAGCCAAATGACCTCGCAGATTTTGGGCTGCTGGTCCAGCAATCAATTCTGATGTTGGAAGACAAAGCAAAAAAAAAATGGAAGCATTTATTCTCTCAAGATCACGTTTCAAAACCAGAGTATAATTTTCTTAAAGAAAAGCTAGAAGACCAGGTCGGCGTACTGCAGTTTTGCATATTACTACAAAAGTAACAAAGTAGACCATCTCAATGGCCTAACATATTTATTTTCCTTAAAACATATATGGCTTTCCATTTCACGCTTTAAATATTATTCCTTGTTTCCTTTCTTTATGATCAATGATATGGTATGATTTTAATCAAAGGCTCACTTTCTCACAGTCCATCTGTTACAATTACTTTTTTCTCTTAAAATCACAATGCAGAACTTCTGGCTTCTGTCACGTCATTGTGACATATGATTTAAAACACAGCTCTACAATTTCATAGCAAGTTCAGGTTGAAGAATGATTCTAAATTTATCACATTCCTCTGATATACCCATGAAGGATATGGCAAGCTTTTCATAGAATGTCAGTAACTGGTTCCTATGCTTTGTGGTTAAGGATAGGTCACAGGCTCATTTTGATTCTTTTTTTCCCCCATGAGTGTCAGTATGGCTTTTTCTAGCCAGCATGGCAGTACCTCTCTGCTCAACACTTGCAAGGCCACATCTGGAATACTGAGGCATGTTTTCAGTTGGGTTTTGACTAGATGGCCTCCACACATCTCTTCCAACCTCAGTGTCTCTATTAGTCTGTGAAGTAACTATTACAACAACGTGTGCAATTATCTAATACTAATGACACTGCTGCTAGATACTGGATACCATACTAACACTATGCTTGCACACCTAAGCCTTCCACTGTTTCTGGACCAGGATGTTAATTTTATATGTCCCTTCAAAATTTTTTTTATATTTTAAGTTATATTTTATATGTCACCTCTCAAAAGGAAGGCAGCACCCTGCTTCTACAGTCCTTGGGTCTGTAAGTTAACTGCCAGTACAAAGACAGCACACATGGGCACTGACAGTCCCTTGTCAGAGCATTTCTACCAACATTTTTAAAGCTATATTTTTATCTGAATACTTTCAGAGAAGCTCCTCCCTGCTTTGCTATGTATCTCTTGAATAGAGTGCCAGAATAATTCTATGGCTAGGTCAGAAATATGTGTGAATTTTTTATTGGGAGCATAAGTATGATGCTCAAATACAGAGTTTCCAAGTTTTTCCTTTTTTTTCTTTTCTTTTTCAAAAGATCAAAGTCAATATCGTGGTAGGCACAGTACATGCTAGAAAAATATGATCTTAAGAGTAAAAATTCTGCAGTAATTTAAACATAATGCAAGTAATTTTAAAAGTTATCACAAAATCCTGGTCAAAGTATTAAAAGTAGAAGCAGTGGAGGAAGAGCAGGTAGAACATCTCCAAGTCAACAATAAGTGTTTTGAAGCATTTGTTGACTACAAAGTAGTTAAACAAGCTTTTTTGAGTGAAATACTTCAGGAATATACTATTAAAAATGTGCTCATACATGCTTTTGCATTGAAAATGTGTTTACAGTACTCTATCCAGCCACAAAACTAATCATGGGCCATTCTTCGACACGTGATGGTACCTGAGGCTCTTATGGAACCAGCCCCTGCAGCTGCCACCCTGGCTGGCTGCCCCACACCTCTGGGGCTCTTCCATCACCCCACAGCCATGCACCCAGCACAGGTGCTTGCAAAGGGAGGGGCTGTTGCGCTGGGATATAGGTGTCTGAAGTCCAATCCTGGCTCTGGAAGGAAATGAGAAAACCATCTCGGGGAGTCTATGTTCAGCACACACTGTTTTAGCTGAGGGTCCTTCCCTGAATCACCACCTTTACTTACACAGTGCTGCCAGCCACTGTCACAGTACCACGCAGCTTCCACAAAACGCTGCAGACCAGAGATGATTTGCTCTAATGTAAGCAGTGCTGAAGTGCCAACTAACAGACAGCAGTGCTCCTTGAAGCTGTTGAGTGCAGCTCAGAATTCAAAGAGCACAAAGGTGCCACTGCCTTTCTATCTTACAATTACACATTCTGCAGCACAGTTAGTTAAATGCATCCATGAAACTTCCAAATATACTTGTGCCCAAATGGGTGCAGACGTTTTTCAACATATGTACAGATGCATTTCTTAATTTTGTGTGAAGTATTATGGCAGCCTCACTGAACATTTGGCTCTTTAAGAGCCATATAAAAGTTTTATTCTGCAGTTGCATTTAATTCAGCCAATTAGCATTTCTAAAAAAACAAATTTGATCACCACCTTGAATAAGAAATTTGGCTATCATAAACTGCAAGTTACCTTCCTCCAACCCAAAGCACACAGGTAATTAAGTTGCTACAGTATTTGACATTTCATTTGCAGAACATATCTACTGTAGTATTTCACCAAACAATTCCTGCCATGTTTCGGTGGAAATACAGGAATTTGATTATGAACTATGTTTGTGTGGAAATGACTCAGATAAAGTCATGAAATTACATGTGTCCCTTCACTCACATGCCTATTTGTGGTAAAAATCTAATAGAGATTCTTTGAAAAAGACAAAAAAAAAATTATGAATATCACAGACATACAAGATATATGTATTTCAAACTGTATCGATAGAACCTAACATTTTAAAATTATTTCTTTTATTTATTCCAGTGCCTTGGAAAGAAGCCAGATTGAGAGCAGCTGAAAAACAGTACTTTCCCTTGGACTTTCTAACTGTGTTATGATATTCTCTATGGACTGTGTTACATGTAGACATAATTCACAGTATTTCAAAAATATTTCTTTGCTTTTGACATTTCTGAATATATTTTTATTTTCTCAAACCGCTCTGTTTTGACCTGGCCCCCTTAATTCTGTATAAACAAGAGAATTTCTCTCTTTAATGCCCTTCAAATCAAATCACATCGAATATACATCAGCATTTATGTTAAAACCACTGTGTAGTTTTCTTTCTTCTATCAGGAATTACGTAAAATGATTTATTTTTGTTTGTTATCTGTTGCGAACACTTAAGAGCTTGTGCCAATATTTTAAGCAATTAAAGAAAAAATATTTTACTCATGCAAAGTAAGATCTTTAAGAATAGAACCACTTATGATGTCATATGAGAATATGAAGATGATTAATGATGACATATTTTCCTAGCTCCAATGCTTCCTGAAAGAAATGTCAAGAGCTACGATGATGTGTGTTTGCTGCAGGATACAAGATAAAAAGATGATAACTGTCACCTTCCACCAAACCTGAAGGTATCATTAGAGTTGCTACACAGTTTGTGCCGATGTGGTGAAGCATTTGTTCCCATTTCCATTATAAATCCCACGGGTTTATAGCTCACCTGTAAAAATGTGATCCGAACTAAAATGTGTCATATTATCTTGAGTAGAAGAAGAAAGCTATAGACTTATCATTTCAAATTAAAGAAAAAAAAGAGTGAAGAATAAGAAAAAATGCTGAAGTAATACACTAATTTGAGTTTTATTACAACTCAGTCAACTGAGTTCATAAAGCTCAAAATCCAATTACATAAAAATCATGCTGATTCAGTTTATCTTTAGAAAAAAGTATTCAACTGACTCAAATAATGGATTATAGAAAGGGGATACATACAATGCATTTAATAGCTTGTGGACATACATATATTTATCCACATATATATTTATGTGTATGTGCACATATCCATAACCTTGCAACAGCATGTACTTCTGAGCAGCTTGAACATGATACCACGTCTGGTGGCCACAATAATGCCACTGCTAAAATATTGCATCCTGATTGTATTCTTGTTGACCTACTACTTCAGCAGTAGTAGGATGGAGCACCTCACCTCTCGGATGAAATTCCTGAGTCTGTGGAGGACTTACTTTATGGATAAGATCTCTTTTAATAGATAATCTATGCAAGAGCCATAGAGATCCTATCTGGAAATAACATTTGTTCCAAATAAATATACAAAAGGCACAGACAGGAAAGGAGAAGTAGAAGAAGTTGAGTGAGACATCTTAAATGCCAATTTTCCTTTCAGTTTAGGGTTCGTTCTTGGCAGGACATTGGTTTGCCTTGATATAGAAACTTGACATTTAAAAAGATGCTCTCGTTTCATATGAGAAAATCCTGAAGTTCTTTTTACCTTCCATGAAAAAAACCACCAACCAAAATACCGCTAACAACAACAAAAATCCACAAACAGAACACCACTGTTCTGCTCAAGAAACAGACTACATGGCTATAATACAATATGGTGTATAAGCAAACGTTACAATCATATCTTTTCTATTTTCCATCTTTTCTTGGCTGCAGATATTCATGGGTAATACAGTAAGTTGAGGGACCATTCTGTTCACCTCATACAGTACAGGAAACAGTAGCATAGGATTATAGTCACTTCCTTAACCACGGTACTTCAAAGGAGAAAAGTTTATATACGTGTTACTAGAGAGGTAACACCTTATATGGAGAGATGTGTGATTGGCTACCTTCTAACCACTCATTTTTTTCTAATTATCACCAATTATTCCTGAATTCATATATTTCTGTGTCTGTTTAAAAATTGAGACTTGTCAAGAAATCTCTTCATGTAGACAGTGGACTTAGGCTAACTTTGAAATACATTCTCATTGCTCATACAGATCTACCATGGCTTTAATTCCATAAAGCACAGAACTATAAGCCAGTTAACAAGTTCACTGCAACTAACAAGACCACAGAAATACTGAAAGTTGTAGATGAGATCTAGGATATTATTCAGCTGGTTGGTATCTAGAATTAAATAGCTTTAAAAGCAATAATAGTCTCCATCCATCACTTTCTCCTTTCCTTTAAATCTCTCGAATCAAAACTCAAATCAAATATTTTCAGCATAATCCTACATCAAGGTGAAAATCTAAATTTTTCATTCCTTTCCACTTTTTAAGTTTTGTGTGTGCAGCATATTGGCACATTATGGACATATTCAATTAAATAATTGTAATTTATTTCATCATCAGATTTCCCACAACATTAAATCATTTGAATAAGAAACAATATATCCTGGAGTAGTACCTGATACTCATGTAATCAATTATTGCTTTGGCTTGGTCAATGCTGAAGATATCCAAGTTACCACTTCTATCTGAATCAGTTTCTCCTATTCCAGCCATTGCTCTTCCAAGTTCCTTTATGTTATCTTCTAAGGCCATATGTTTGCCTGCAAAGTAATTCCAAGGAACAAAAAAACAAGTATAAAAACAGTAGGATCTTTTAAAGCATACTCTGAAGTATTTATATTATGAGTAACTTGAAAACTTAAAAAATAACAGCAATTTTTTGTCTGTTGCCATTATTCTTATCAATAAATTAATTAAAATTCCATCACAAAATCACTGATGGGTCCTCAGATAGATGTTTAAGACTTAAGAGATTGGTCTTTTATGTATGCAGAGACAACCACAGATTAGTACGTAAATTCAAGATGCATTTACTACAATATAGCAACATTCTTTAAAATCAACTATTGTTTCTGTACTGTAAAATATTGCTCTTCTGACCATATTCCTTACAGTATAAAACAGTAGTATAGGAATAGATTATTTAAAAGGATACTGAATTTTTAAATACTTACAGTCATGATTCATTAAACATGACTATGCTTAATCTTCATGCTTCATCATTTGTACCTCTCAAAATAGATAATTACCTTACAGTTTTAACTTGAAAATAAAAAACAAATGCAAAAACAGTTCTGAACTAAAATTTATATTCTTTTTATAAAATGCCTTGGGAAAAATCTTGAAATACATCAGTGTTATCTATTTAAAGATAAAGGATTCATTTTTCTAATTTATGTAAGGGTATACCATCACTAGAACAATTATGAAGTTAAAAAAAAAAAAAGTTATAAACACAATTTACTTGTTCTTTTTAAGTCCAAAGTGTCTAGAATGGAAGATGGGGAAATATCCACCAGCAGTGAAACAGATTTATTTTCCTTATTGCTTTAATTCTCTACTGATCTGCTCCCTGGTTCTTTGTACAGAAAACAAATTAAAAAAATTACAACACTCTGGTTTTTACAGTTTTGCCCTTTGGTGATACAGCAATCAAAACCCTGAAAATTTCACCTCAGTTTTCATTAACAGAGGCAGCAGAATATAACTAGGAAGAAATACATAGAATGTGGAAGAAAGGGAAGCTAAGCCATAGGAAATGAGAAAAAGAAACAGAACTATCACAATTAGTGGATAAGTAAAGACAGATAACAAGACTGTGAGATGCCACAGCACACAGGCCCAGATCCTTTCTCCAGTTAGTCAAAATTTTTTCTTTCCTTATACATCTGATTTTCAGGCCCAATTGCTTCTCTTAGGAAGGCTTTCACAACACATCTGTGAAGTAAGGATCACTTTGTCCTCAGTGTATAGAAGGTAGCCCAAATCACATAAGTAGTTCATCTGGGTCCAGTTTTCAGTTCCTATTCTGTCCCTCTTTCTCCATAAGAAACCCTTTTGCAGGCAGCAAAGATGCCTTGGCTCTCGAACTGTTTCTCTTCACCCAATCAACCACAGTCTTAAGTTTCTAAACATCTGTTTAGAAACTTTCTCTGTTACCAGACTCAAATGAGTTTCCACTACCTTCCTTGTCTAAATTTATTCTTTCCATTCCATGCTATTACGTTCAAATGAGCTTAAATTTCCAGGCTGTTTGAGTACACTGTAGCAAAGCGAGAGAAAATGGCCATTAATTTAGAAGACATTAGCATTTCACTATTAGTTGCACCAGCTGAGAACAGTAAACACAAGGAAACTTACCTCAGCCCTGGGTGGGCTGCAGTATACTTTGTAAGATAGAAATTTTGAATTTTAAATGAAATTTTATGAGAAAAAACTATTAGAAGCCTCTTGTAAGCTTTTACAAACTGCATGTTCATTCCTTAGAATCTTAGCTAAATATGAATGGATTTTCAGAGGCCCGCAAAAACCAAATTCATAATACTTGCTTTACACTTTGAAGTGTAGGGGTAGTGGAGCTGTTTGGGAAAATAAATACATTACATACATAAATAACCAACCTCAAAATAAGGCATTACTTTTTTGGGACACCTCTGCCTTGTTTTGAAGCCCGCTGAACTGCTCTGAGGCAGTCATTGCCACGGAAAATTTCAGATCAAAGACCTAAAGGTTTGCCAGAGTAAAGATCCTGAAAAATGTAAGTCATCTTTAATAATCCATTGTGTTACCAGCCAGTCTAGTACGCGTGCATCACAGTCTCATAAAACTAAATTGTGACGCGTTTCCATTATTCTCCATTGTTATATTAATATAGTTAGCACATGTTAAGATACTTTCTCACTGGAGACAGGAAGGACAACTGGAATTCCAATGATCATAAAGCATATACATATTCTGTCAAAATTCCAAGAACGAAAAGGTACTTGAATTAAACTACAATGAAAGAGTATAACAATTATTAAGGGCTTAATTTTAAATATTCATCTTTACTTTGAATGGATCCGCTGAGTCCTTTCACTTTTCCTTTGGGATGGACTCTTTTCAACATAATTACCTTCAAAGTGAATATAAAGTAAGCGCTGTGATCTCAGAAAAAGGGGTTTTGAGAGGAAGCTGCTGCAATTTTTTTCTGGATATTTTGTTCCCACCAGACTCAAGATACAGGCTTTTTTTTGCAAATTTCCTCATAGCCACAAGAGCTGAAACTTCTTCCACTGTAATTTTTCAACTTCAGCAGTGATGACAGTATACTTCCCTCGTTATTCTTTAATTAACCCATACATTTTGTGCCCAAAGTGCAGAATTTGCCGTATGGAAAGCTGCCTGAGAGTTCACCTCCAAGGACAAAATACATATTATTCACCTGCTGTAATTCTATAGCATGTACTGAATATCTCAAACAGCAGAGAAATGTGCCCAAGGCTACGGTGAGACAGTCACTGAGAGAGCTGGCACTGGAATTTAGATGGTCTTTGCTCTCACTCTACTGCAATTATTATTTATTTTAACAGGCTAATGATAAGATCTTTTCAGGGCCTTTTCCTTTTCTAGCACATACTGTACAAAGATTGAGAGATATTCTGCTCAACAGACTACAGTCCTCTCAAAGTTGTCTTTTGAGGAAAATTATTACCAAGTACAAGGAACAGTATTCAAGAGGAAAACAAATCATTTTACCAATACTTGCAGTTAAAAACCACTTCATTAAAATGATTGGAAAGCATTCTTGCCTTCCACTTCAGGTGTATTTATTTTATAACTATGACTATACTTACCACTAAGGTTCTCTAACAGGAAGTTTAAGAGATCCATGTATTGTGACATCTGCATGAGACTGAAATTCATTTCTTTTGCCCAACAAAATCCTGCAGTATAATAATCTAGCAGAATAGCTTCCTTCAAAGATGTCTTTAATTGTTTAAAATTCAGAAACTCTGCCAGCTTGCTGAAAGAGATATCAGAGTAAAAGAACGGAGTTTCTACTTGTAAACTTTCAAAATTTAATGTATGATTATATATCTATTATGACCATATTACATGTATACATGTACATATTTTACAGGAACTCTGCTTCATCTATTTCTAGATATGAACACTGCTGACCAGAAGAAAAAAAAAACTACAACCGAAATAAGTAAATAAGCGACTATAAATTTCAACAGACAGTAATTAAATGTAAAGATATCACTAATGAAATAAAAAGATGAAAAAAACCCAAAGAGATGCATGCAAAATGCACACAAAAAGAAAAGTAAGTGTTGAAGAAGGGGTCTGGTGAGTGAAATGACACAATTAGTCACACATTCTTGTTTTGAGATAAGTTTATAATATTAAAAAGATCTTGTTTCCCTTTGGTCATTATTTTTCATGCAGATTGTGAAGTAAAATTATAATTTAGAAATAAGGTAAATAATATAAAATTACTTAAAGCACCTAACATACTTAGAAATTTGTATTCCACTTTCATAATTGTCAAGGCATTTGGGAAAAGTTTCATCCTATTTTTCTGGTAAACTGGAAATTTTTTCGCCTACTTAAAAAAAGCAATGATTAGAGAAAAATACATTCCTTTCTAGGAGACCATGCTGTTACTGACAAATTTATGTTGCTCTGTCCAATTGTGGAATTAACCACGTATTTTATAAGAATTATATGCCTTTTTCCACATGAAGAGATTTTAGAGGATCAGGGCTAGGACTTCAGTTTGCAATTCTTCCAATGCAACTGTAGCTATATTGTTAGATAGTGAAGTTTTACATTAGAGCAGCCTTTGGTTTCTTAGCAATACCTGACAAAACAGGTCCCAGCTATGATCAGTTTCTCCTTCCATATAAGAGTGTTTTCATTCCTGCTTCTCATTCCTTCCTAATAACAGCATTAATCTCAGATCTACTCATAAAGAACTTACTTTTTCAGGGTTTTCACCAGGCTAGTAGAGATACACTGTCAAATAAAATGACTGCTGCTGTTGTTTTTTAATTAAAGCCTGAACAGCTAAGAAAGTAAAGCATATAATCCAATCAGTTTTGTTTAAAACCATGTATTCTTTTGTTCTGCATAACAAATTTGTACTGCTGTACACATTCAAGCTGGTTAAAAACACTTAACTATGTACTGAAATAGAAGTGGAATGTGGCCAGCTGAACTTTCCAAGGTTTGAAAGAGTCCATATCCTCTCTTTCTGAAGCCTCTGCCAACTCTGTGTTTTCATAATCAGAGCTTCTCAGGGATTTAGATCTTCTGTGATGCTGCTAACAATGCCAGAACTCATCTTTTCAACATTCTGCAAAGCATGTCACTGACAACAGTATCTATAAATGATCAGGAAATTATGGGTGACTTAGATTTCTTAGTTACATTGATTGCTATTTCTTCCTCCACGGAGGCTTTCAAATCCTACAGAGTATAGAACTCCAATATATATGAGAACATAAGACTTCAAAAATCTCATACTGAATTAAATAATCTCTTCTGATTTTCCAGCCTTTGCTGTGGCCTCCATTTTTGTACAGAAATGATGCACTGTGATAAACTAACAAAATTTCTGTTCTGTTGTTAAAATTCCCCAGAACTATCCCTTTCCTTTTGATGCAGCACATACTTCATGATTCACTTGTAAAGTGTGTATATAAATTAATGCACATCTTCCTCTGATCAGCTGAGACAGAAAAAAAAGGAACATATGATCTTTTAATGCTTTCCTTTTTAATCTTCATGAAAATTTTTCACAATAAATTGTGTCACTAAGTATATTTTAGTCTCTGGTGAGTTGTATGGTTGTGTCTTCAACCTCCTCTGAAGAAACGTCATCAGTCAAGAGAAAATAATAAACAAATAGAAATCTTATTGTTTATAGGGAAAAATAATTTTTCCAGTTTTCCTTTAAAAAAAAATAAATCTCATCAGATAAAGAATTTTTTTGTCATTAAAACAGAGAAAGATTATATTTTGAGAATCATATTTTAATCTCTCAAACACTCAGTGTATTCGGACAGTATGCTGTTTTGCTTTGTTCTCTCCCCTAAAACCCGTTAAGAACACCAGCCCTTTGCTTTTAATTCATTAAGAACTTGCCAGTGGAGACAAGCACTCACGAATTATTTGGGCACTTCTGGAAATCCCATCCTAAAAATATAAGTCTAAGGTTTCAAGCTGAACTTGGGTCTCTTAAACTTAGCTCCTACTAAGCATTAATAAGAAGAGAGAGTTTTGCTACAATGAAGACAACATGGGCTTACTTCAGATGTCTTTGGCTGCCTCCTATTTCCCCAGTGCACCATAACAGCTACCTACCTCTTCACATTTCCATCCCTTTCTAAACTTTTAAAACCTTTCTGATTTTTTTTTCAGTAGCTTGTATTAAAGCATCCTAAATGCTTTAGCAAAAGACTTAACTAAGTGAGACTTATGGAAATGCTCAGTATTGGCCTGTGCTTATTTACATCTTAGTATTTCATATATAGGATATTTTAAAAGAATATAAACCCACAAACCAAACAGTGTGAAGTACCTATCAAATAATAATAAAAAAATAGAAAAATCAAAAGATATGGGAAACACTAAAACAAAGTAGATATGAGATGAATGACATTTCTTCCCACCTTTCATGAAACATTTAAAATCACATATTTAAACTGAACAATTAATGTGGTAGCTATCACAAAACAAATCTAACAATTTGTACACAAATTTTATTTCATGATAACATTAATTCTAGTATTGTTACATTGCCACTTACTTTTGAAGTCCTTCTACATTTTGTTCTGACAAAGCAGTAATTTGCGAAAAAGAAAGAAATGTATGATTAATAGTCTTCTGTCCACCTACAGCATCCTGATCTTGGTCTTCTTCCTACACACACATACATATACATGAGTATAATTTTGAAAGTTGTATTTAATTATATCAGTAGCTTATCTAAATAACATTTTGATTTTGAGGCAGTAGGCAAGGGGTTAATTCAACAAATGCCAAAAATGTAACATACCTATAATCATACAGTGGCAACAAAATGCCCTAAAACATTTTCACTAGGCAGATATATGGAAAATAGTATTTCTATCTTAAATTCATGTGGGAATGTAATTCAATCTTGTGTTGCTCACAATATGTCACTAACTTATAAGTAAAAACAACAGAAATGTAAATGTACAAAACTGTCCAAGAATCTAGATTTGGTGGATAGTACAGTCACTAAATTTTACACTCAATCTATGCTTAAGGCATTATGGGCATACATGCACATTACTATTTGACCTTCCCCCTATACTTCTTGATTGCACTTTGGGAATTTACTGTCCACATTTGCTCCTTCCTTAGGCCAAGAAACTCCAACATGTTTGTTGCAATACAGCGATGCACATAGAAGAATCCGAGAGTAATGTTTCAGAGTAGGTCTGTGTATCCACAGAACAGAAAACAGCTCCTTGCCAGAAATACGATGGTGCACATGTCACATGGGATAGCAAACTGATCTTGAAAAAACTATGCAGTGGTCTTCTAAAAAATATTTGACAATACTTTATTTAGTGTGTGTCACTGGCCAAAATCACTTCATTGTGGACTTTGGTAAGAAATCTATGAAATATATAAAACACTGGAAAAAATAACTTTTACTATATAACATCTAGGTAATAGAATGAAGTGTGAAAGCACATTATAAAATCATCATCTATAAAGAGAGTCAAAACTACATTTGACATCTATCTGCCTGGACAATCTCTAGGCTGTTAAAATGATATGTTGCTGATAATGATTATCAGTAGTTATTTAAAGAAGAACCAATTATACTCTGACACAATCCTAGCAAAGCTCAAAACTATGTATAGCATCACTTTATCAACTTTAACTAAGTCCTGCTGAGCTCTGAATATTATATAAAAGGAAAACAACCCAGAAGTGTTTTCAAGTTTTAAGAAGGGACTGCTCTGCGAAATGACTTTTCACCAAATGCTTGTAGCCAAGCTGGCTTTATCAGCAGTCTACATAGGTGGACAACAAGATGAGTGAAAAATTTAGCTGCAACATAAAGCACAAGGAATAGAGGTTAACAGTTTGTACCCTGCCTGGATGTTGGTTACAAGTCTGGGTAAAACCCAAAAATAATTAACTCACAGGAAGTGTATCTGTAACCTGTGGGGCTTTACAGAGGCACAGCAAAGTGAAGCCTGAACAACATTTCTACCTCAGTTTGAGAAAGAAGTGGAAGATTTCCTAACGTGAGCTGATTTTAGATTGAAAAGCATTGTTCTGGGCTAATTGCCACCTAAATCTAGCACTGGTCAAGGAGAGCCCCCAAAGAAAGCTACACTACTCCCCCTGCTGCTGCTGAACTGCAAAATATACCTAAATCTCTGGGACAAGCTGAATTACATGCACGGCTGATGAAACAAGGCTGAGAGCAACCAATATGAAATGTAGTGGACAAACTAGTTTTTCTTTCTACTTAAGCACGAGTACTGTCCCATGCACTTTAGTATTAAAAGTTATCATTTCTAACTGCAAGGAAGTTAGTCTCAGATAGAATGCCTCATTAGAACAACAAGAACCAAGTAAACGAAGGCTTCCTGCAGACAGTGAGGAACATGGCACTGATTTGTTTTTATAATTGATGCAGTATAAGAAGCAACACTTTTGCAGTCAGCACTACTGATATAACTGAGGCTTCATGCCCAAGCTAGGAAAACATGAATAAGTAGCTCAACATAGTAACATTATACTACTATTGAAAGATAGTTTTGAATAATTAGGAAAAATAGGAATGCTGTACTGAAGTGACCACTGGTGTTACAAATCCATTGAAAAATTGATTTTTTTAGAAGCAGTGAGGGCAGAACTAAAAGAATAATTGATACTGATTCCTAGGAAGTTCATCTCTTTCTCTCAGGATGTCCAATGCATAGGATACAACACTATATCTTTTTGCACCATTATATATGCAGCATACAGTTCACTGGTTCATCAGTTAAAATCTTACTTATTAAAATGTTACCATTTCATAAGAATCACCCCAGATGAACAGTATAAGATGATGCATTTGACACTGTTAAAGAAAAAAAAAGTTTAAGAAAGTTCAAGGCACACGATTTGTGTTCTGATAATCTTCCAGCTTCTCATCCATTGCTATAAGCCAGGTATGGGCAGAAGGGACAAAGGGATTGGAGGACCAAGCAGAGAAAAGAAGTTTCCAACCCCTGCACTCCACATCTCCAACATTCAAAGCCACAGTCGTAGCCCAGTAGTACAGGCTCACCAGTAGTCTTTTTTTTTTTTTTTTTGCCTCCCAGTTCTTATGTTCATGCTCCAAGCAACAGGTTAGCAGGCAAAAAGTTGAATACTCTGGAAAATATCTGAATTTCCAGAATCTATACAAAAGACCCCTCGCTTTTTCTTAAAAGGCATCAGACCATGTTCATCATGTCAGAAAAGGCCTGACCAAAAAGTAGTCTCCACCTGCCTGTAGCTGGTTTACTATAGCATGAAGCTTTCCCACCTACACTATACAATAGGCTGCGCACACCAAACATGCTATCATTAAGGCCCACCTCATTCTTTGAATTACAAATAACAAAAAGGGCCTTTAGGAAAATTCGCAGAAGTCTTAGCATATACATTTGTATTGTAGCAATATACGGAGTATGTAAGATTACAAATAAATATTTAAAAAAAAAAACCACATACTTTGTACAGTCTCCTATAGTTCCTTTCAAAACATTGAAAGAGTTTAGCCTTGGAAACACATTATTTATCTAACTAAAGCTTGTGGTTTAAACTTAAGAGAGACTTGAGTTATTGTAACTCAGTATTGCAGATGAAGCTCCATAATATGCACATCAAAATCCATCACTTTACATGGCAAGGTGAAAGCTCACTGTACATTTCATCACCTACTCTCTGTAACTATCCCATAGCAACAACATCCCTTCCTACCCTCAAGTTCTTAATTTTTAGGGTGTATTTGTGCCAACACTGTCCATAGTAAATGCAGGTATCATGTAAAAGAAAATACAGTTCTAAAGGACTGGTGAGCAGCTGTGGGAGAGAAATTACATTATTTAGAAGATAAATTTTTAAAATTAGAAGTGCCTCTGTAGTTTAAAAAAAAAAACCAAAAACAGAGAAAGACCTAAAGTAACTTGAATGATCCTGTATTTATGGAAAAATTATTTTGGGGCAGAACCTCACCCCCACTGAAAGTTTATCACCATTGTGCTTTGCCTTTTGATGGCTGTCTTTAACCACCACTAAAAAATCAAAGGGAAATTGTTTTTTTGCATGTTCACTGATATGGTGATAAATTTACCTTTCCTTTTACTGTTAGCAGCTGTGACTGACTGAAACAATCCAAGATGATTTCATTCTGATAATACTATCCTCATGTGTTGGGGGAGGAAAAAAAAAAAACAACCAAAAAAGCCTCTGCCAATATATATTGTCAGCAATAGACTTAACCAGTGTAAATATAAACTACTACAAGAGAATTATTTGTTCCCTTTATCCTTTATTTTCCTTCAAATAATTTCTAGCTGTTCTGAATGTATAATATATTTCAAGCTGTTCAATATGTCACTCCAAGTGCTTTGGGCACCTCTTGTCAACATCATCGAATCAAAATACCAAATGAGATCTTTTGAAACAAAAGAACAAGATCCTCCTTGAATTCCTCAGCCAGTGTTTACAAATCACTGTGAAACAGGAAATAATAACAGCAGAGTAATAAACAGCAAGCTGCAAAAAGCTTTGTATTTGGGTGGGGAAGAATTCTAAAAATAACCACTCCAGCATCTGCAGTTTTGGTGAGGGCCTCTCCAGAGCGGTAAGACATTAAAACACAAAAATGGAAATTAGCAATAGAGTTCCTGAAAGGAAGCAGGCTTGTCCTTTGGGATGAGACCTCTGCTCTGGTTGAAGATGTTAGTTATTTGCATCTGTTTGAAAATACAACAATATGCTTTGCAAAATCTTGACTTTCAAAAATATATTCACAAAGGAATGCCTTGCCAGCTCTCTCAAATTATATCAGCTACCTGAAGCGTAAGGAACGAGATCTTCCTGCCCTCACCCCTGGGGAAATGAAACTGGACTGAACTCTCTGCTGCCACAGACAGATAGTTTCCAGTACTGAGCTGGTTCATTTAAAGCTGGCTCAGCTACCTCAGCCCGAGCAATACTGCTGACAGCAGTACAGATGTATCCTGAAACAGTGTTGCATATCAGTTACAACTTTAATCAAAATGGGAATAAAAAAAATAGCAACACAGGCTGTTATTTGTATTATTACATGCATTTTGTTATCAAGCTGTCAAATACTTCAGCAGAAGCAGAAAATCTTGAAGCTGTCTACCTAATGGTTAAGGCAGAAACAGAAATGCATTCACTGTTCCTATATGTTAAAAAACAACAACAAAAACACACACACAAAAACCATCACCAACAAAACAAACAGACAACAAAAAACCCCAACCATTTGTCTGCTCCCATAACAAGAAGTTAAAATCAATAGTTGCTATTTTAGTCATAGTATTTATTTTGTTGTCAAACGAGGAAATACACAACAGCATCACTAATTTCAGCAGTATTCAAAAGAGAAAATTGCAGATATACCATATGCAAAAAATAATGCCTGTATGGGAGGACCATTACAGAGGCTGATGGTGTCCTCTTAATAACAGAATGCATTTCAGAAAACATGTGCAATCCAAATGCTCAGGCATATGAGTTACCAAATTTACTAATGTTTTTCACTGCTGCAGACTGCTACATGGAACAGAAAGCGTTTTTTAAAAGAAAACAGCAGCAGGAATTGCTGAGATCGGCATTCAGGTTTTGTAATACGATTTCTGCTGAAGTCTGAGCAGTTATAAAAATATTTTAATTCAAAAGGAATTTTCTCAAGATTTTCTCAAGAGGCAAATACAGTGGCAAAATAACATGTTTGCTATGGCTTATGCACAGAACATGCTAGCTTCAGCCAAAATTGAAAGCTATATCATAATAATAAAAAAATAATAATAATAATATAACAATAAAAACGCACAAATCCACAGTTTGCAATAAAAGTAAGTGACAGGGGATAGCAGGAATTCTCAGAAAGGCGTGCTATCACGTATCACACAAACTTCAGTACAGAAAATACATGAAAAAAAAATCCTATAAAGAATCCTTCTATAAAGCTGTGAAGTAATAGAGGAAAATTTCAGTGCTACTTTTCAAATAATAGAATCAAAGAATCTCAGAACTGTTCAGGTTGAAAAAGACCTCAAAGATCATCAAGTTTAACCACAACCTATCCATACTACACTAACAGCCCTCTGCTAACTCGTGTCCCTGAGCCTTTGGACAGCCTGTCCTTTCCCACACTGCACGCCCTGTGGCCTTTTGCTCACCGCTCCCAACAGCCATAGTATTTACAGATAACACTAATAGATAGAATGCAGTGAGAACCACTTGTGTTTCTCATAAAGCGTTTGCATAATGCATTCTACACAGCAGAGGATTTATTCATTTCAGGAAACCTAAATATTAAGCTCTCGTGCCAGCGGTTGCTATGGCAGCCTGGTGCCCACCGACGCACACACCCTGGCGGTGGCTGCGCCCAGGAAGGGCCCCGGCTGCTTTCGGGCAGGTGGCCTTCTCTGCTACGTGCTCTTTTGTGACAAGGTCACGCAGAAATACACACTCACACTGCCTTCATTTATCCTCCAAAAGCATTTTAACGTTCACCCTTTCTTTTTAAGCTTTCAGGAGCCTGGTGAAGACACTTAAATTCTTAAATTAAAAGATCAAGGAGAAGCAAAAGCGAGAGTGCCAACGCGCGGGGACAGCTAGACGAACAGCACGGTCGCTGCCCGCCTCTTGCCCGCCGCGGCCCCGCGGGCTGGGGGCTGGCGGCATGAAACGAAGCGAGCGAGGATACCTGCCCCGCCGCCGCCATGCTGCTGGGCTCGGCGTCGCCGTTGCCCAGGGAACGGGGCGGGCCCCGAAGCTCCGCCCGCGCGGCCCCGGCCTCTGCTTTCAGCCCGCCGGGCGCCATCTCAGCGCCCCGCCGCGGGGCTGCCGGCCGCGGCCCTGCGAGGGCTCGGAGCGGGCAGGGGGATGGGCTTTAATGGATGGCACCTCGCCGTTACCCTAACGGCATCGCAGCGTCAGCTCTTGAGACACCGTGTTGGAACCTCAGCCCAGCCCGAGAACGCTGCACACGTTGTTGCAGGTCAGCCAGTGTAAAGCAGCAGGCTTCTGCTGGCAGATATATGCTCTTATACAGTCGACTTTTATGGCTGATTTAGGAATAATACAATAAGGGGAAGATGACTTAGCAACTGAAGTATTCATTAGGATTTGCAGGTAAAAGGTTTAGTATGTGGAATACTAATAAATGAAACTGGACCCAGAAGCAGTTTTGTCAGTTCTGTGTGGTTTGCAGACTTGTAGCACCAACAAGTCAGAGTAATGGCACTTAACCTGAAGGATTGAATAAAGCATTTGGAGGGTGAACGGTGATGAGAACAAACAAAAAGCCATCTAACTTTGCAAAGTTTATGAAGGTGCTGAGGGAACTGCAATGACAAAACATTTTTGCAGCATCCCCACATAAAGAAGGGAACCTCTTGGGATTTCTGCAGTTGCTTTGAGGTCTGCTGCTGTTTCTGAGCACTTTTCCACTTTCTGAAGGTTGTCATCGTTGGTGTATCGCACCACACAAAACACTGAGCACTGTACCCGTGTCACAAGAGACTCAAACCCACCATGACTGATGTCTGAGATCCAACATATATGCAACTCCTCTTCCTCCACAACAGTCTGACCCATAATGACACATACACACCAATCATACTTTCCAAAAGGACTCAGGAATCTCTTGGAATGCAGTTGAGAGAGCTGGATCCTGCAGTGTTTTGTAGAATTATTCATAGTATTTTAAAGAATTGCATAGCTCTGTGCAGAGCCCACACTGTGAATTCCTGCAATTTGTGCCATGCTCTGTAGCCGACAACCGTACAGCTACAGTTACTTCTCCTTTTAGTATGTGTATAAATCTAACCAAATAAGAACATTATTCAGAGCTGCAAGCACCACACGCAGTAAGGTGTAAAAACTGGGGAATTAAATCTGTTGTTTGAATGTAATATAAAATTGTATATGTTCATACCGATAATCTAGTCAGTAACAGGTAGATTTTGGATTTAACCCCACATTCCTCTGGCATTGAAAATATGCACTGACTTCCACAAACATTTTTAATGTCAAAAACATAGTGGCTTAAAACCCTTAGAAGGAATTACCTCAGTTTCTCTTATTCAGCTTTAAAGGACTTAGCCCTGGACTGTATTCTTTCTTACATAAAACTCACACTATGCAAATTCATTGATGTTGAGCACTGATGGAAGCGCAGCACACATTTCCAGCAGTAAGCTCCTAAACTTCCTATTTTCAATTTAAATATTTAGATAGACTTATAAAGGTATAGGAAATAAAAGATACACCAACAAAAAAGATTCAACAGTAGCGTTAGGCTGTTGCTTCTAATTTAAGATGATTCTTTTATGTTTATAAAACCCACATTTATATGCAAGTGTGAGTGTGCAAGGCAGCTCCTTTTCATTTCCTTCAAATCCAAGACTAGTAAGTACAACAGAAGTAGTGGTCTTAAAAGTCTGATCTAGTCCTTTCCTACCATCGGTAGTCATGGTAGATTTTCTGATTGCAGATGGTCACAGACACTTCAGATCAGGGGAGAAGAAAAGCTCCTCTGTGTAGCTGTGTTATATGAAAAAGTTCCCTGAAAGTGTGTGTTCCAGCATGTATAATTTAAGCAGTTCATATTTGAAAGCCTGCCCTTACAAAGCATTACATAGTAAGAGCTCATCATCAAAGAGCTTATCTGAGGAGCAACCAGAGTTCAAGTTTCTGAGATTGTTTTGCCAAGCTAGTATCACCCAGCACAGGAGTATCTCAGGGGTACACTTTCCTCCTCTTCCTTTCGTCCTTGATTAAGCCTCTTCAGCTCACAGTGCCTGGCCCTATTAAGGATAACCACATGGCCTACTTATATTCAGCCCTGACAGGAGGTTGGTGAAGAGCTGGTTGCTCTCCTTAACTTTTGTCAGGTCATTTTGCTAATGATGCTATGAAGCATGCTATCTTCCTAGAAAGACTTTCTTCTTCCTCAGCTTATTAGGGAGCAGACTCACCTGGATCACAGAGTTCCATGTCAGAAGGAGCGGATAAGTCAAAGCTTCACACTAAATGTTGCAGGGCTTTGTCGGTGGTAGGCCATCTTCAACTGGGGGGAAAAAAAAACAAGCCAGCAGTTGCAATAGGACTCCAAAATATTCCACTAAGTCCCTCAAAGTCCTAACCAGATTGATTGTTTGATTTTGTTTTTTTTTTACTAGCTTGCAGAGGTCCTTGGATTTCAGCAGAAGACAAAGTTTATGCAGAATTCAGGAAAATGAGTGGATTTTCAGAAGACTTACTTTAAAACATGAAAGTTTTTGCAAACTTATTCAATTTATTCACATATCCTTATAGCAATGGAGGTCTTAGAAAACATTCAATTGCAAACACGTTTTCATTCACCTTTAGTTAAGCATCACTAAGCATAGTAATTACATGTAGGCAAATTCTCGATGAAAAGCAGACGGAAATTCCTATTGGAGGCTTTCTTGTTGCATTAGACGGACATACAGCTCCCCTTGCTGCCACCTCTCATGACAACAAATTGCTTGCATTCTTGCCCTGTGAGATGGGGATCAAAAAAGCAAAGGCATGCATGGAGATCTTGCACACAGTATTCCAGTTTGACTCCTTGGGTAACAAATGGATAATTTGTGAAAGCAACAGTACATTAGTGTTACATGGCTCTTAATAATGAATTGTGCATTATTGTATATAGGTGCATTAACGTGGCAATTAATCACCTTCTCCTGACTCATTTATAACATCCATCACAGATATTTTATCCAGGGAACAGTATTCCCTCTAGGTGATGTTCTTTTGTTTTACATATTGTATATTTTCAGAAAAAAAATTCAGGGCATGATTATGTACTAGAAAAACAAGCTCATAAATCCTAGGTTGTCTGAGAAAACTTGTTTCTAAAACAAAAGGTAATTCTGCCCTTTCTCAGGCAATGAGAATTAAAGGTACTCTAATTAAAGGTACTCTGGTAACAACTACAAGAGGATAACTGCTTCTGTGTACCAGCAGAAGGATAGGCAGAATTCTGAATTATTTAAGGAGATAAACTGCTTGGGCTTCACTGTCTTCATTACAGTGTATTTCAGAATTCCTCCCTCTCTGTGTAATTAATATGTAGGGAAAATTTTCATATGATTTGAAAGTTATTTTAAGGGACTTGTAAATTTAGTACTTGGCACAGCAACAAGCAAGTGAAAGTTAAACTTGGCAAATAGTAATTTTTCAATTATTCAAAACAATATGCAGAGCAATGGGAGAAGTAAAACACATACTCTATCAATGATTCCATTATCCTTTCACTGTAAGGAAAGGTGGATGAATGGATAAAAGCAAGTGTTAGAGTGATTCTATTCTTGATCTTATCCAAAAGACTGCTACATCTAGTGCCAAGAAATTGGATTTAGGTTCATAGAAATCCTAGAAATTAGGTAGAAAAGACTTAAAAGGACATGTAGTCCATCTCCAGGGGACATATACTTTCTCCTGCCAACAAGAACTTCAAGAAGAAATATGAATTTATTTAAGCCAGTAGGTCAAGACAGTCCCTTACCACGTATTAAATTGCAGAAGTAATGTGAATGGGCATATAACATTTCAGCATACTATCAGTATGAACTAAGGACACTTAGGATTTTCTCCAAGTTCCATTTAGTTCACTGTTTAGAATCTAAACAGTGAGGGCTGATGCGTAAGATAAAGCAATATGGATAATTTAGTGGGTAGCTATTTCAGTCCATCTAACTGACTTCTTACAGTCAGCATTCAGACAAGACTAATCCACTAAGAACTCCAAAATTCAAGACTGAGGCAAAAGGAGCAGCGCTGACTACTGTGTGACTTTAAGCCCCTTGGGACAGAAATCAGCTTTCTGCATCTTACACAGCCATTTGTACACCAGTGACAAGGAACAAACAATTTAATTCCAGCTTTAGACTTTCAAGTTTATAAAGAATACATAGGAAAGCATAGTTTCACTGACTGTAAGAGCTATGCTCTTCAGGGGCTAGAGCTTTTTAGAACAGAACATGCCAATTAACGGAGTAAGGAAAATGACTCGAAGAAATCTACCAAATTAAGCAATGTATGTGCTTAATGATAATCAGAGATATCAAGTAAATAGAATATTAATATACATATAATATTAAATACGTATAATCTAGATTAAAGTATTGTTTGATATTATACACGTACATATTATATATATATTCTTTTTTCAGACCTATTTTTATCACAGATTCCCATCTCTTGTACATTTTTTTCTAAAGATATAAATTACCACTTATTTTGACAAGTTTGCAAGAACTGGAATATTAAATTCCATGCAAAAGACCAGACATCTGTCTTCACTTTTCATTTAGACAGTCAAAACTTGACTTTTCAGTTTGAATTACTGTTTCAGCCTGTTGGTAAACTAAAGAAGATAGAAATGCACTACCCTGTAAGGTAAAGGGCTCTAACTATTATTACATCTTAATAACACAGCAAAGCCTGTGAAAAAATATAAATTCACTGATTCCATTGTTCCTGCCCTTTTGCCCCCAAGACAGGAACATCATTTCTTTTAGAGATTTCATATTTTACTTCTTTCATGTCTTTGTTGTGTAGCTCTGTTGATATGTTGCCACCTTCTCCACGTGATGTTAACTACTTCTTAAAATAACATATAACTATCTAGGGCAGGAAGTGAAAAATGACATCCAACTGAAATTACAGGGGGATTTTCAATAGGGAGGCTATAATTACTGAAGATACAGGTTGGCTTGTATGCTAGAACTTATGAAAACACCTTTTGAAAAAAATTCCCTGTGACTACTGTGCCAGCTTAAATCTATGTTCAACTTTAAGCACATCACTATTTCCAGTTTAAACTGACTGTATTTTTCCTTTTTGCTTTTGTGAGCAATGTGCTTGTTAGGCTACACAAACAGCTTCCAAGGTATCTTAGTATTTCTTTTCTTTTTTATTTAATATGGACTAGCAAGCATGAATTACTGAGATATATCATAATGCTTAAGTGATGTCTTGGAGCAAGATCCCAACTATAGCAACAATACCTGTATACACTTTACAGTGTGGAGTCTATTCCAGACAGAGCAAAATTTGTTACTGTACAGTCTAGCAAAAATCCTAGGAGTCCCTTCCACCAGAGACAAGTAGTAAATTTGGGGTAGATGGTACATGTGTCTTATCTTGATGTACGTGGGATCTCAGAGCACAAATCCCAGTGAGTAGACGAGCACAGTCAAGAAGAAAGAATGTGTCCAAATAGTCTCCTTAAATATTTAAGCATAAAGGTTATTCTGTGATAACTAGGCAATATGGTTAAAATTATAGTGTAGGTGTTTATTACTGCCCTGCCCCTTTTCTTCCCTGACTCATTTGAGGTTATGGACTCCTCTTGGCAGAGTACACTAAAATAAAAAGGTATATATCTCAGTAATCAGTCGTGGGAGCACTTTCCTTCTGAGATTCTGAATTTGAAATATCTGCTGTGCAAGCAGATGTTTATAGAGAGCTGCAAGGAGGAGTTAATGTCCATGTTCACATCGAAAAGATTATGTGGTTGCATGTAAAAAATGAATTTGGAGAGCTCTAGAGAGCTTCAGTACATGACTCCTTGTAAAAGCGAAACTCACTGAACTGGGGACCTGAGGCCAGCACACACATTTATATTTTTAACTGCGAACCAGCTCTGTTTGTGATGTCTTGAGGAACATTCATGGGTTTGTTCTAAAACTGGGGTCAAATGCTTCCATAAGGTCTTTATTAAAGTAATTTATAGATTTAGTTAAGACAGAAAGTAAAATTAAGCTCTCAGAGAGTGGAAGTCTAATGAATTATTCTACTCCAGTCTAACCCATTTCTTCAGTTCTTCAGCATCCCAGAGCTCAAAAGTTAAAGACAGGCAAGGATAGCACTCAGCTCATGCCAGCAATTTCTCTCAGCTTCAGTACCCAGAGATACTCCGTTGATACTTGTGACGTGAGCTATAAAATCAGTGCTGTATTTTGGTCCAGGGGAAGCAGTTACCCACATGCTTATCACAGGAAATTTAGAAGCAAAATGAAAGCCTCAGTGCAGTGTTTCAGAATGTTTCTTGAACATAAGCTTATGTTTTTGTCATTTACTTGAAGAGAAATGTGAAGAAAGATGATAGAAGTTAATGGAATTTCATTACTGTAAAATACCAGAAGTGAATCATCCTCCTTGTTTTAACATCTGTTAACAGTCTTCCCCTCTTTCTTGCAGCTGAAACGTGACATCCTGCTTGAGTTTTAATGCTGTTTGGCATCCATGCATATACTGCCAGGGATATTCAGAACTATTTATATTAACAGCAAATATTTTTACTCTGAGGAAGGGAACATATTCTTATTGTTATTCAGTAAATAGTGTATTGTTGCAACGAAGATATAATTTACTCACTTGTCTGACAGGATTACAGTACTCCATGCATTCTGTAGTTTCATCTGTGAAAAATCGAACTTTGATTCTTTTGTTGTCATTTCCCATAATTCTTTATAAACAATCTGTGGCAAGAAGAGAACAAAATAGCTCAACAGAAACTGCTCCCGGGGATAGCATTTGAAAGGTAGAGTTAATGAATTAGACTAAGAAGTTTGTCATATTTTTTACATGAGTTGTGAGTCAGACTTTGTATACAAGTGCTTCTTCCAATTTTGTACTTTGTAAAGGCCATGACTTCCTTTGTTCCCTGGGAACTCTGCAGTGAAAGCATTTGTCTTCAGAAGCACAAAGCTTTTTAGGTTGCATGACAAGTATTTCCAGTCTTCTCAGCCTTTCGGTTTGCTTGGAGCCCAGCAATGCACCCACCTCTTGCAGTCCCCACTGGTGGCTCCCTGAGCTCAGCCCTGCAGCCACCAAATCACAACAGCAACTTACCACATTACACCAAAACCCAGAGGAGTTCAGACTACATAAGGATGGTTGAGCTGAGCCATTACTTACATTATTAGCAATTGGAACTCAAATGCAGTAAAAATGTGAAGTCCCAAAAATGGGGGGGATGCTTTTTCAACTGTGATTTCTTGCTGTGCTC